TGCAGGATAGGCACCCACAGATCCACTACCTGCCACAGGACAGAGTCAGAAGTGGCACTAGGAGCTCACCCTGCCAGGATGCCATCAGCCACTTTAGAGAAGTACCATGGTTGTCAGCTACCCAGTGTAGGCTGGCAGAGCCTGACAAAGGAGGAGCCTGTCCCTCCAGCCCTCTAGCTGATGGACATGGGCTCCAGGCCTTTTCCCTGGCTACATAAAGGAGGCAGAACAGACCCTAGGAGGTGAAGATTCAGCTCCAGACTGCCCAGCCCCACTGAAGCTCTTATTACCTGGCTAGGGGCCTCCTAAAAGAAAACCACAGCCCCACCCAGCCCCACCCAACCCACCAGGCCCAAGGGCGGAGGAAGTGGGGTTCCCATAGGAGCTGCAATGAGCACTTTGCTGAGAGCTACCAGACAGATGGCCTAACTCAGGGATATCGGACCTTGCTTCTCAAACCTGAACTATGTTCTCATGCTACAACAACTCTGAAACAGGAAGAGCGTAGTCTTGATTCTGCTCATTTTACAGATGAGAAAATTTGACCCTTTGGTCTAGATCACTCAGCTGGAGAGTAGACATGTCACTGAGTGGTGGGATATACCTACCTGCAGTGCCAGCTATTGGGAAGCAGAGGCAGGAGGATGCTTGAGCCTAGCCTGGGCAACATAACAAGATCCAGTCTCAAAAAAAAAAAAAGTAGACATGATTTAGAAAGCTGGCTTCCCACTACGTGCCCTGCAAGCTGGACAGTGCCAGCCCACATTCACACTGAAAGGGATAAGGCACCAAATACTTCCTACTGGCCAGGCAGGTTCTGTGCCAAAACCAGGGCAGTCACTTTTCTGTCTGAACTCAAAACATTAGCTGTTTAGGGAGTAAATGGATGAGGAGACTATGAAGTCTTACTCCAGTTCACAGTCAGAGAAGATACTGCCCTAATGAAAGATAAGGCCAAACAACAACAAAAATGCTGGCATTCACCTAAGTCAAAGAGTCTCAAAATACTGGTCTGCACAGCTCCCTGGAAGAATCAATGACCAGCCAAGAATGGGAACCTTGGAGACCATCATTGCCTCTCCCTCCATTCATAAGTGGGAACCAGGGACTTTGAAAGAGGAGGAAATACTGTATGCCTAAGGATAGAGTTAACCAAGTAGCAAAAGAACCCGAGGTCTCTCCACCTCCACTGGTATCTCCTGGCCCTGCTGGATATCACCAGAAACCAACAGCTGAGAGATATTCAAAAACAAGAACTGCAAGGTGGCTGTCTCTTTAACATTCTGCCACAGTGGCCTGCGGACAGAACTACAGTTCACAGGTTTCTACTCCCTTCCACTGCAGGCCCACATTCAGTCCTGTTCTGGTGGGAGTCACTCTCTAGTTACCTTACACATCATCCTAGGTGTGCAAGTTCAGTCTCAGTCCCGCAGAAGAAACAGGTTAGGCATGGCAGTTAGAAGTACTTCTACCAGCTCCCGCTTCTAGGACAGGTGACTGACCCTATTAGCTATATCCAAGTAGGGACAGGGAGTGCAAGATGTCAGAGGATCAGAAGCCTGAACTGTGAGTGGAAAAAGAACCTGCTTGCTTTCTCATGGGTACTAACATTTCTCTTGAATGGCCACTAGGATCCAGTAGCAGCAAATAGGGATCAGCACCCCTGTTCATAGTATCTGGCACCAGGCTTGGAGCTGAACATGTGCTAAGAAGTCCTTACCTAGAACTCATCACTAGTCATTAGGGCTTACAAATGAATGAATGAATAAATCAGTAAAACAAGACCCAAAGAACTCAAGAAACTGTAAACCTAGGACCAGAGGACAGAGAAGCTGCTTTTGTAAACCACCTACTACTCCAAAATGCATTCTGCTTACCCCATCTCTGCCTTCCAAATGTACCACAATCCTCCTTAATCTAGTTTTTCTCTGATTAACCCATATGCAGTGTTCCTGGCAATACAGAACACACAAGGACACTAGGACCCGTAACTCGGGAAGCACAGACGAAAACACAGCAGCAGGCAAGTGTTAGGCACTGATGTGATTCACTTCATGCTTCTGATCCTCTTCCACTCCCTACTTTGCAAGTAAGGATGGCCACGTGACTTGTTTTGGCCAATGAAATGCTACTTCCAGGAAGAAGCTTTAAAAGCCAGATAAGACTCATCCTGTTTTCTGTCCCTCGATCCAAGTGGGACAGGAAATTTTCCAATGAATCAGTGTGGGTCCTACAGCAGGGACAACGTAAAGCAGATATGCAATTCGATATGTGTAGTGAACAGGCAATAAACCTTTATTGCTTTAAGCCTCTGAGATGATGTTCAAATCTGGACATAAGCAGTGTCTCCCCAACCTCTCCTCCCATTACCTGGCCTTAGAGGACAGAAGCTCTATCACCAGTCCAACAGAAGGGAGTCAGGGGAACTACTTGTGAGCCCAACCTGTGCTAGACAGAGACGCTTCCAGAAGCAGAGATAAAAGGGCACCTGTGCTGTAAACACTTAACTCAGTAGCTCTGCTGTGAGCCAGGCTTGTTCAGAATATTAATCAGTTTTAATCATCTCCAGAGGAAAGCACTGTCTAAATTAGAAATGAGGAAATCCATCTCATATTGAGACCTCAAGCAAGTCACTCTGTGACCTTTCTGGGCCCCACAGTTTCCCTTATCTGTAAAATGGGACTATTATCATCTACCACACTGTGTTGTTTTAAGGATTAAACAAACTAAATTCAAGTAAAACTAGGGTAGTGCTTGATCTAAGTCTCAGTAAATACTAAACCTTAATAAACTCACCATAACTATGCTAGTAAACTTTCCACATAATTGCTTTAAGCTTGTCCATAACCTCCACTGGATTCCTGGGCCTGGAACAATGGCACTTCATAGGCACTGCCAAAGCTGAAGTTGAACAGGGTCAATCCCTGAGCACATACATAGTGGCCTAGAGTGAGGCCTCAGGAAGCAATTCCAAAACCCAGGGTTTCCCTGTGCCCTGACCTCCTAGGGGAGGTCACTGCCCCAATTTGCAGGGCAGGCCCTGCTCCTCCCACACAAGGCCTGAGCTTGCCCTCCTGCTTCCAAACAAGCCATGGGAGGAGCCTTCACCTGTTCTGAGACTAGCACAGCTGCCCTGCTGGGAAGGGGGGGATCTTCTAACAGTCCATCCCCTTCTTCCTGGCAGCAGCCACAAAGCTCCAGGAACACTGAATGAGGCTTCTAAGCTGGGATCAAGATCAGGTCAGTAAATGCCGCAGGTCCAGCATGGATTCTAAGACCACGAAGAGTTTACAGCTGCTAAGGGAGTCCTGGGCCAGGGGACGGTGCCTGCAGCAGCACCTAGAACCCCACAGACTCTCAATCCTGCTTTATGAAATGATCTCAAAATCACATTAGGTAGTCCAAGCAGTGGGGCACAAAAGTGTAGGGCCACAGAGAGCAAGAAAGTCTTCAGCTAAGAATGGCCTGCAATGAAGGACAAAAAGAGAAGGAAGGAGAAAATCAACTGGTGGCCTGGTTTCCAAAGGCCTAATCCCCAGACATCAGAAATCCTCAAAATGACACACAAAGCTTGGGAACAGCTGAGGGAGGGACCAGAAGGGCACAAGGAGCTGTGAAGAAGTCTGGGCTTCATTCTGAGGCTGCCAGGGCCCAGGAGGTTCCCTGAAAGGAAGGTGCTCCACCAACCACTAGGCGGGCTAAATGTGGGGCCCTATGTTTACTTTCACAACCAGGGAAGGATGGCCCAAGTGCCCAGCAGGCACGAACTTCTTCCTGTGTTCCAGGGGCAGAGAGCAGGCTCCTCCGGAACTGACCGCTCCCACCCACGCCCAAAAATGAGCCCCTGGGGAGAGGGGGATTCAGAACGCCGGGGCGGCTGGGGTGCGTAGTCCACTACACCAGTAGACTCTTCTCAACAGGACCAACTTAAGTCCCTGAGACACGTGTTCCAGTAGTGCAGGCGTCGAAGTCACTGCATGCACACATATACACACACAAACACATTTCCTACCCTCTGTACTCACACCTTTCGGGGACAAGAGGCTGCAGTAAACAAGGGCAGACCCAACTCCATCCATAGTCACAAACCTCACGGAACCAAAACTCGGGCAGGTTAAGGGTCACAGGAAAGCTGGGTCGCCATCTCCTCAAACTCCCGCAGCCCCAAACCCCAGCGTAGAATGGGGCGCACATCAAGCGGGGTGCGGTTGGGTGGGGGCGCCTTCTCCGGTAGGCGTCCACCCTCGCCCCTGACCTGGGCTCCAGGGGGCCCGGGGCCAGCCAACGAGCGGCAGGGAGCGCCAGGGGCAAAGCCCGCTGCGGGGTGCAGCCCCTCCCTCGGTGCGCCCCACCCACCCCGCCCGAGGACACCGCTGGAGCGCGGGCGACGACTCGGGAGCCCCGGGTTCGGCTCCGCGGAGTCCGCTCCGCGGCCTCCAGCCCGGCGGGCGATACAAGAGGACAAAGCCAGCGTCGCCCGCGGGGCCGCCCCCAACCGACCCGGAGGGAGCCCGCGGGGCTAAGCAGGAGCCCGGGCAGCGGCCCTCGTCCCCGGAGAACGCTCGGGGGGAGGCCGACCTCAGACAATGACGGGGAAGGCCCGGAGCTCGGCTGGGCTCGCGCTCTACTCACCCGGGCGCGGCGGCAGCGGCAGCGGCGACAGAGGCGGCGGAGGCGGCAGCGGGGCGGCCCGGTCGGCCGAGGAAGTTACAGCAAGTTCGGCAGCCACGGGCGGGAGGGCGCGACTCAGGCCGTCCGAGCGGCGGGGGCGGGGCGCGGAGGGCCGGGGGCGGGGCCGGGGGCGCGGCGCCTGGCGGCGGAAGAACACGCGCCGCTTCCAGCACCGCCCCGTGAGGCCCCCGCCTGGCCCCGCCTGGCCTGGCCCCGCCTCCTCTCTTCCCCGCCCCTCTGCTCACCCCGCCCCCGCTCCAGAGCAGGCTCGCTCTCCTCTCGCCCCGACACTTGCCCCGCCCCCATCGCTCGCTCGGGCCCACGGCCCCCTGTGCCGCTCGCCCCGCCCACCGCGCGCCGAGCCCTGCGGGGCGCCCCGGGGGGGGATCGTGGACCGGAACCGAGGCTGGATGGCTGGTCTGCCCCTTTGTCCGGCTCCAGGCGGTTCCCGACACGCGGGCTGAGCGTGGATCCGGGCAGGCACGTGTGACCGCCGCCTTCCCCTGCCTGGGCAAGCCGAACAGGGGAGAACCGGGAGCTGCGGGAAGCCAAGTCTCGAGGGGTGCGAGGGGCCTGGGCAGGGGCGAGGAAGATGGCGAAGGTGAAAGGCGCTCCTGCCGGGCCTTGGAAGCTGAGGACGGGAGGATTCTTCACGTGAAGGGGCAGAGTAAATGAAGATTTTTATTTCTTTGCCAGCCCAGCCTTGAAGCCTCGCTCGTTCCAGCCTTGATGCTAAAAAACTCACCTTGCTTTCCCGGCTTGCAGAGATCTGTACCTCACCTCTATGCCGAGACGCAGCACTGAACTGACCCTCGGCTGTTGGGAGGCCGAGGTGAGCAGTCAGGGGTGCAGGCCCTCCCGCCCAGGCCTGCCTATCTGCTTTGCGGGGTAATGCAAAACAGCGGTCCCTCTGTCATCCGGGGCTGGAAGGAGGCGCGCCACACTTTAGCACAAGCCACCAAGAGCCCAAGTCCAATGTAAAGAGAAAAATCTTGGCGTGGCAACTGTTGAGTCCATTCCTGTTTGTTTTAACTAAAGGGATGCAGCCTGCCCCGTGGATACCCCCCACCCCATAGCTCAAGGACCCACCCCCGGGGAAGCTGTCCTGGCAGTCACCTTCAGCACGCCACGCGCTGCGTTAGGTGTTTGGTGGCTGCTGGTCCTGTTTTCCAGCTGGGGATACAGTCGCCAAAGCCTCTCGCTCCATGTAGTTTGCTTTTAGTGGAAAAGGCAAATGAATCATTGCAAGTTGAAGTAAATATAGGGATAAAAGCAGTTCTGGAATAGAAAATAAGCGCTCCTCTAGATAGAGCAGTTGGAGAAAAGGTCTTTGAGGAGGAGATGGGAAAATTGGAGTCAAGAGAATCAAGGTAGCCTTAGGGGAAAGTTAGCAGAAGACACCTTGAGAGCTGTGGTACCAAGGCCCTGGGCCGATTAAGCTCTGGCTGTGCAAGACCCAAAGGAAAATCACTGTGGCTAACACATCAGGCCTGGCAAACAGGCTCCAATGAAGTGGGGAGGTGGGCTGGGGCCAGGGCATGCAGGGCCTGTGGACTGTGTAGAGGAATGGGCTCTCTTTGGGTTTTAACAGAAGATTAACAGGGTCTGGTTTTCTGCTGTGAGAATAAAATTAGTGAGTGTCAGGCAAAACTGACAGCAGGGAGCCAATTAAACCATTGCCTCAGTCCAGGCCAAAGATGACTGGTGGTTTGAACCAAAGTAGTAGCCATGCTGAGTAGGAGAGGCAAGTTTGAACTTAACAGGACACATTGATAACTGTAGCAGGGACAGAGGAGGAGAAAGTAGTGAAAGCAGGGTATCTTTCAAGTTTATTCTGAGGAGAGGGTGAGCAGTGCCTCATTTACTGGATGAGGTGGCCCAGAGGAAAGGCACTATCTCAGGGAAGAACATCAATTCAGTTTTGGCACATTGAGTTTGAGATGCCTATTAGCCATTCAATGAACAGAACAGAGGGGGAGGTCTAGGAAGTATGGGAGCCTTGGGTGGAGATTGCTAGATGGCACTAATAAAATTGTCAATGCTATCTGACCATATGGCTTCCCAGAATAAAGGCAGCTTTCTCAGCCTTTCCTAGAGCTACAGATGGTCATGTGACTCCAATAGGAAGTGGAGGTTTCCCTGTGTAAATTCTAAATTGGCGTTAAAGGGAAACACTGCTTCTTCAGCCATTGCTTTTTCACTGAGATAGATGGATACATGGCTGAAGCTCTTGGAGCCATTTGGATTCTAGTGGAAGCCGTGTGAAGGTTTTAGTGGAACAAGTTAGAATAAATAGTGAGTTCCTAATGTTTACATCACCAAACTTACTCTGATCCGCCTACCTCTCAACTTTGTACATGAGAGAAAGAAATTTTTGTCTTGTTTAAATTTCTTTTCTTTTTTTTTTTTTTTTTGGTCCTGGGAATCGAACTTGGGACCTTGCGCTTTTGAGGAAGGCGCCAGAACCACTGAGCTAAATCCTGGCTATATTTCTATTTTCTGATGCTTGTTACCATGTCTAATTTTACCTTGTCAGAATACACAAAAGTTTGCTAAACTATGTGAGTAGCTGGAGCCAGTTTGCACAGTGATAGGAATGATCCAGGAGAGAAGGAAGGAGCAGTGATTCTGATGAGCAGGTGGAAGGAGAAGGGATCTGAGCACTTGTGAAGATGGAAGGATACCTCCCTTATTACTAAGGAGAGGGGCAGGGAGGCTGAGAAGATGTTTCCGTTGGAGAGAAGATGATTATTCTTACCTGATGATTTCTGCTTAATCCTGGATGTGAACAAAGTCTTGAGTGTAGAACAAGGAGGAAGGAGAGGGTGAAGCCAACTTTGTCTCCTCAGGGAGACATTTCCATTCTGGAGCAGTTGGCCATACTTCCCCATCCCAGCCCCCTCACAGACCTCACTGGACAGCCATGTCTGCCACTCCCAGCTGGCTGTCTGATGAGACTCACCATGCTTCATATTCTTTCAGCAACATGGGGTGGCTTCTGAGAGCATCAGGGATTCTCCCTGCAGAACAGCCCTATTTTATTTTACTTTATTAAAAAATGAAAAGAATTAGGATAGGGCAGCCCCAACTCATACAGTGTTTATATCGTAACCTGTGATTTACTTTACAGGCTATCCCCTGATCTGTAATTGCCAAGAATGTGGATGAATTACAGTGCAGACTGCAAGCCTGAAGTAGGGATTGTGGGAACAAGAAACAGTACGTGAGGGAGGAAAACAAGCCAAGAGTTGCTTTTTTTATTTTTGTTTTTCTTTCCCCCAGACCCAAAACTACTAGAAACAAAATTTTGAATGGAACCATTTGGTCTCTGATTTCTGCTTCTGCTCTTGCCCCTCATGGCCCTCACTCTTAGTAGCACCTGTGTATGCCCAAGCAAGGGACAGACTCAGGGGCCTTGAAGGGAAGAGGGATTTGATGACCAGTTCTTCTAGCATGTACAAGGCTGTGGGTTCTTTCCCAGCATTGCAAACAAATAAATCAAATGACATAATGTTTGTAAAACTTTTTTTTGTCTAGGGATTGAACCCAGGGTTTCACACAAGCTAGACAAGTGCTCTACCACTGAGCTACATCCCCAGCTCCCCTTTTAATTTTAGTTTGAGATAGCATCTTGCTAAATTGCCCAGGCTGTACTTGAACTTGCAGTCCTCCTGCCTTAGCCTCTCCAATAGCTAGGATTCCAGGTGTGTGCCATCATGCCTAGCTCAAGATTGTAAAACCTTAGAAATCACTGGGAGCCAGGCATGGAGCTGGGTGTGATGGCACATATCCATAATCCCAGTTCTCTGGGTGTATAAAGCAGGAGGATGGCAAGTTCAAGCCCAGCCTGGGCAATGTAGAAACTCAACAAGACCCTACATCAAAATAAAAACGGCTGGGGATGTAGTTCAGTGTGAAGATTGGATTCAGAGCTCTGTTGGTTGTAGCTCAGCACAAAGAGCCTGAGTTCAGTCCCCAGTACTGAAAACAAACACACATTAGGTAAGCTGTAAAGAAATCTGTTATTTCTGTTACCTGGGAATGATGTCTATTAGGGCCAGACTACCAAGACTCTTCACAATAACCAGGACATTTTGGTTGGAAACAGGATTCTTAATTTTGACACAAGTTCTTGCTAAGTTGCCTAGGCTGGGCTTGAATTTGCAATCCTCCTGCCTCAGCCTCCTGGGAAGCTAGGATTATTTGTTTATCATCAGGTCCAGCCGGACCTCAAGTGTTTGTTTTTGTTTTTCCAGTACTAGGTATCTGAGGGTGATCAATGCTGATCAATCCTCTGACTGCCTAGAAAGGGGGACTGTGAGGGCTAAAGAAAGAAAGACAATAGAGACTTGCATAATTTCCAAGTAGTGGGGAGGGGGTTGGAGGGCTGGGAGGTTGTGCCTCAGAGAGGGCAAGGACAAAGACACTCAGCTAGCCATTATTTGTTGGGTACACACAATAATTGGAGGGAGTATCAGGTGACTTACGATGGTGGCAGTCCTATGTTGATGAGGATCTTATGTTGATAAGGCCAGTAAGGAGAGCATTCTTACAATAGTGGGTGGGACTAGATAGGCTAATAAAGAAGTTGTCCTTCCCCTAGGTGAAACCTTTTTTTTTTTTTTAATTGCTACTCGGTTCTCAAGAACCGGGATGACTTCCACTATTGTAATCTTACCCATGAGCATCACAGCATCACGGGAGTCACAGCATCATGAGACCGTTGAGACCTCAACTTGTGACCAGAGGAAAAATGGAGTTATGTTTCTGTGATAACCAACCTGACTCCATTTGTGTAAAATCCAGTGATTTCCAGTGGTCGCCCCCCCCCAACCTTTGGAGTCCCCTCAGTTAATGTGTAACAAACCAACCACAGCATCCTGTGTGAGTCTGCAACTATGTTATCTTTACTACCTTGTAAACAGAAGACTCCTGCACCTATGTGATACTTTGTTTTAACTAAACTGTGTGAAACTGCCCCACCCCCACTGATTTAGCAAAGTTCTGTTCCTGTGAAGTTCTGCTTGTGCTCCCCGACTCCTGAGCCCTCCCCAAATAGAAGACCCTTTAAAAAGACACTGCAAACTGCCTTTCCTTTGTCCAGTTTTTGGAGGCCTGAACCCACTTTGGACCCTGGCTATGATAATAAAGAATTCCATTTAATTCAGAGTGTGGTGCATCTCTATAGTTCCAACTAGCCTGGCCCTATAACATTTCCATGTGCCATAGCGGGCTCAGCGTCAAGGTGACATTGGGCCTTAAAACAGCTATAGTCATACTTTAATTATGAAATTATTTTTCCCAAAAAATTATGTACAGTGACTCTTGACACTGGGAATTGAGCTGAAGGCCTTTACACTGGACTACATCCCTACCCTTTTTATTTTTTGAGACATGTTCTTGCTAAGTTCCTTAGTGCCCCAGGCTGGGCTGGAACTTGTGATTCTCCTGCCTCGGTCTCCCAGAGTGCTGGGATTACAGGCATATGCCACCATGCCCTGATCCATGCTCAGTTTGGAATTGATTTCGGTTATCTGAAAAAAAAAAAAAAAGAGGTCAGGGAGCCCTGGAAAAAAGATAACAACAACAAAAAAGAAATTGTTTTCTGGGCCTGTCATTAAATGCCCGCCCTATTTGTTCCAGAATGACCAGTTTTAAAGAACCTGCAAACTTCCAAGCATCTCTTATTCCTTTAGTATCTGCAACTTCAGCCATGGGACCTCTTTGCCCTCAGATAGTGGCCCCTACAAGGCAAAACTAAGACGAGTGATCGGAGACCATGTGTGAGCTTAGGACACAGGGGCACACCTTAGTGATGGGGTGTAGATCTGTGTTAGCAGATAGTGGTGACAAGTGGCTCCATCATCTCTCTGGTCTCTGTTGTCCATCCATAAACTGGGGGCAGAGGATGGAAGATTGTTCAGTAGGGGTGACTTTCCAGGATTCACCTGCCCCTGTCTTTGGCTCAAGCACAGTGTAATTACCCCAAATGGGAGAAGGTGGCTTTGCCAACCAAGGAAACCCCGTACGTGGCCAGATAAGACCTCAGAGGGACAGAGCAGGTTTTAGAGGTTAAGACCAAAGATCTAGGAATCAGACTGCTTGGCTCATCCCCAACTCTGCCCAAGAAAACTGCTTCCACTCAAAGCTCAGAGATGCTCCTGTCTCTCACGAAACTACGGGATGGGGGAAGAAAAAAGAAAGAAAGAAACTATGGGATGGATACACACAGATGTAGAAGCCACTGGATGGTGTAGGTGTTACATCTGGAACCCTCTTGTATGGGCTGACCTTCACAAACTCTGAGTCAGTTAAGTAAATGTGGAAGGAGGCTCAGAACAAATAGCAGAACCGAGATCTCAGCTTTAGGCTCAGACTGGAGTCCTCTGTCTCAGTCTCACCCAGAGATTTGGGAGGGGACCTTCAGGTTCAGACACTGCCGGGAGAAACCCAGGAAGTCTCCCCTGTACCTGTCCCTGGAAGCAGGTGAGATCAGTGAATGCTGCTCCCTCTGTCCCTCTCCTAGCTCTGGGGGCTTCTGGTGGGTCCCCTGGGAGAAGCTGGTTGTCCCTGGGGAGAGCAGTGTGGCAGTAGCTGCCGCATGTGCACACCGCCATCTAGGGGCTGTCAGTTGAAGCTCTGAGTTTATCAAACTGTGCGTGTGCGTGTGTGCGTGTGCGTGTGTGCGTGTCTGCGTGTGTGCGTGTGTGTGTGTGTGTGTGTACAGTCCTATCTGGTACTGCTTACTCCCTGGAGCCCTTGTTCTCTGGCCTCTACTTACTCACTTAGCACCCCTCAGTCTCCTCTGTGGCACCCTGCTCCCCAAGCCTGCACAGCTGCTGCTCCAGACTATGGGCTGAGCCATCCACTGCATATCTATAGGCTCCTGTGGTCTCAGCCTCTGTCTCTTTAACATCAACCATGCACTTGACCACACCCTGCCTTTATTACCAGACTTCTCTCTCTCCTTTAGTTTACTTCCTACACTCCCTGTTCCTAGAACAAAACTCTGATCCACCCTAGGATAAAAGTGACTGCCAGTCTGATGCTGGCTTATTACCTCTAGCTAGTGGCCACACAGACAGTACCCTGGGCTGGAATCTGAATGCTGGCAGGAGGAAGGAGCTCTGTCCCTGTCCAAGGGCCCAAGTCTGTGCTCCACCTTCACCCAGTCTGGTAGTGGATCAAAGGGGTGAGGAGGTCTCAGTTACACCCACTAAATGGTGGCAGGAGTCACACAGCCCCCATGCCTCATTTCTTAGCAACTGATGGGTCCTCCCAGCTCAGAGCTCCCCAGGGAGCAGTGGAGGCCTTGCAGGTCAATATCTGTCCCTGGGTCCTGCCTCCCTCCCTTCCTGCACACACAGTTCTGCTCCAGCTTCTGTTTCCTGTGCATGTGGGCTCTGCATGCACTGTCACCAAGGCTCAGAACACCTTTTGACCAGTCTCTCTGCCTGGGTGAGGACAGGGAGGTAGAAAGCCACTCAGCCAGCCCCTAAGCAAGGTCCCTAGGAGAAGAGATCTGGAGGGGTCAAGATAGAGCACTGTCCCCACGTCACCCACTCCCAATCAAGCTCTAAGGCTGTGTCTCTGCTCCCACTGCTTTAGCAGCTTCTGGTCAGCTCCCCTCAGGACCTCCGCCAGACCTCTGCCCATTGCCTCCTCTGTGAGGCTCTGGCTTTAGCCTCCTGCCACCCCCTGCAGATGATTGCTCTGGTCACGCAGCAATATTTGCATCCCTTCTTGGGTGAAACCTGTGAGTAAGTCTGGTAGGTCCTGGTAGGTCCTGGGCCAGCCCACCAGGGCCTGTCTCTGGTTCAGTCACTGTGCCCAGGGTGGGGAGTGTGGGAGACAGAACATGGACAATCTGGGTGAGGTATGACATAGCCACAGGTCCCCAGGAGGGGGCAGTGATGAGTGACATATGGCCACATAATTATGCTTCCTGGCTCTAGAGCCGTTGATACCAAATGATAAACAAATTTTTATCCACATATTAGTACTGTATCTGTAAGCAAATTTAGCATGTGCATCCAGATCCTGTTTTAGGTTAATTATGTTATCATTTGTCGATTTAAAAATGTGTGTGAAACATATATGAGACAGGGCTGGGGATTCAGCTCAGCAGTTCTGATGCCTGCCTTGCAAACATAAGATCCCGAGTTCGATCCTTGGTACCAAAAAAAATATATATATTTATGAGACTGAGTCATTAGAATTGGGAAGTGTAACCAATTACATTTTATGTTTAAGTGTTCAGGAAAAGTCTATTCTGTTAAAACCAAAAAAACTGACTTTTTAATTGTAGGAGTAACATATAACATATGAATATTTAGAGGAATGCTAGTTGTTGCCATTTTCTTTCGCTGGACCTTAGACAAGACATGGAACTGAATGTGCTTCTCTGTGTGCTCAGAACCCCTCGGGCACTAACTTCCATCTGCAGAACACCCTGAGGGTACTGGGAGCCAGCCAGGAAGCATGGCCTGAACCAGGTCTGCAGGGTGGGGACTGT